GGATCTGCATATATTCTGTATGTGTCCTGACCTCCCACAGTTCTCGGAAACAATCTGATGCTATCTCCAAGTAGGAAGTGTGAGAACTGAGGTGAGTTTCTGGACATCCAGCAAGTGTCCGAGGATTGCACGGTGTGGAAGAAGCTACCCACACATCCAAGTTAGAAACTGAAGTGCAACATAGCTACCTTATATAAAAATTAACCAGACGGGGGCCAAAGCAATAGTACAGCAGGTAGGGTGTTTGCCTTGCATGTGGCAGATGCAGGTTCGATCCCCAGCATCCCCTATGGTTCCCCCAGCACCGCCAGGAGTAATTCCTGATGCAGAGCCAGGAATAACACTTGATCATCGCCGGGTGTGACCCAAGAAGCAAAAAATAAAATAAATAAAAAATTAACCAAACATGTACTGTATGACAAACTTGAATGCAATTATAAATCTTCTCAAAAAGTCTGGAGATAAAAACTTCAGAACCAAACGGCAAGGAATTCTTACAAATACCACCAAAAAAACATGACCAAGTTAATGACTCAGATGAGAACAGCTGCACAGGAAAGGTACAGGCATCACAGTCCACTGGGATCTGCAGTGCAAAGAGTGATTTTTGGGGATCATCTAAAAGCTAATACGAATACAACTAACATATTGCTAAAACCCACTGCCATTCTGGAAGAAGGGGAGTTAAGAACATTTCAAGTGTCAACCGTGAAGAGCACGCAGGGGAGGATAAGCTGAAACTTGACTTTCCATAGTATATAATGCTCAACATGGAGGGGGAAAAAAAACCCTCAAGAACAAGCATCAGCAGCACGTTACTCAGAAATACATCAAATGAATATATCAAATATGTCAAATGAATCAAACGAAAGTGATTACTTCTGGGGTTGCTTAGGAAACAGCGCAGGAGGACCTGCTCAGGGAATGGCCTGACAGTTTTTCAAACAAGCTCAACTCACTATTTGAGTGTTTTAAAAAAAAAAAAAACCAACACAACCCCAAAACCTCTCTGCCAATTAATGCATGGGGAGGTCAGGACTTAATTTAATTTAATTTAATTTCAAGTCAGTTTCATTCCTATGTGAGCTCCTAAGGGGTCTGGGGTGTCTTAGTTTCCCTAATCTTGTGCCCACCAAGCAAAAAGTAATGTTCTGGAAGCAGCAGGATAATTAGAGTGGGACTGCTTTTCACCGTCAGAAAGTGAATGACCCAGGCATTATAGGCAGAGGAAACAACAGAAGCAAAGGCAGGAAACAGAGTTGAAAGCTGAGCACAGAGGAAGGAGGAGCTGTCATGCAAAGTACCCAGAAAACCCCTTGAGTAAATAGAGATACAGCCTTGATAACAGTCTTCAGAGTCCATGTGGCAGGAGTGGGAGGACACTGTCCCCCAGTGGACAGATCCACATGGCAATGACTGCATAACTGAATGCACAGGAGCCTTGGGGTCTGATGGCTACAATACATAGTTCTTTTCCTTTATATATTCTTATATTATATATCTTATTATATATAATATATATTATATAAGAATATATTATGGTATATATTCTTATAACTTACAGTATCTTGTTATTATACAATATATCATATATAATAAGAATATACATAATATTTATGTATCTTTTTCCTCCACCAGAGTGCCCACTTCCTTCCACCAGTGTCCCAAGGACTCCCCCCACCTCACTCCATACCCCCAAGTTAGCTCAGTTTTACAGACCAACTCTCCATCCTGTTGCCTTTGGTCATTTGTTGCTCCCTGACTGTTTTTCTTTATATCCCACAAATGAGGAAGACTGTTCTGTTTCTGTCCCTCTTCCTCTGAGTGACTTCACTCAGTATGATACTCTCCAGGTCCATCCACGTAAGCAGCAAATTGCATAATTTAATTTTTCTATGTAGCCGAGTAATATTCCACTACGTACATGTACCACGGTTTCTTTATCTAGCCATCTATTCTTGGACACTTGGGTTGTTTCCAGACCTTGACTATTGTGAACAGTGCTGCAATGAACATTGGTACACACGTCTTTTTAAAATTGTGCTTTTGGGATAGATGCCAAGAAGCAAAATTGCTGGGTTTCAATGGAAGTTCAATTCTTAGTTTTTTGAGAAGTATTCCATATTCTTGTTTTTATTTTTTTAATTCAATCACTGTAAGATACGTTACAAAGCTTTCATGTTTGAGTTTCAGTCATACAATGATCAAATACCCATCCCTCCACCAATACACATTTTCAACCATCAATGTTCCCAAGTATACCCCCCTCCCATTCTAATTCTCCCCCTTCCTCTATGGCAGACAATTTCCCCCATACTCTATTTTGGGGCATTATGGTTTGCAATATAGATTCTGAGAGGTCATCACATTTGGTCCTTTATCTACTTTCAGGACACATCTCTCATCCCAAATGATCCCTCCAATCATCACTGATTTAGTGATCCCTTCTCTATTCCAGCTGCCTTCTCCCCAAGCTCATGAGGCAGGCTTTCAACTATGGAGCAATATTCCTGGCCCTTTTGTCTACTGTCCTTGGGTGTCAGTCTCATATTATGCTATTTTATATTCCACAATGAGTGCAGTCATTCTATGTCTGTCCCTGTTCTTTCTGACTCATTTCACTTAGTATGATATTCTCCATGTCTATCCACTTATAAGCAAATTTCATGACTTCATCTTTCCCAACAGCTGCATAGTATTCCATTGTGTAGATGTACCAAAGTTTCTTTAACCAGTTGTCTGTTCTCAGACACTCAGCTTATTTCCAGATTCTGGCAATTATGAACAGTGGTTCATAAAGCTGAACCAATAACATTCCTGCCAGCAATGGATAAGATTCCCTCCCCCCCCCCACATCCATGCCAACACCGGTTGTTTTCATTCTTTATATGTGCTTCTTTATGTGTTCTTTGTGTTTCATTAGTATGAGGTGAAAAGTCTTTGTTTTGAGTTGCATTTCCCTGAAAGTAAATGATGGAGGACATTTTTGATGTAACTACTGGCCATCTGTATGTCTTCTTTAAGGAAGTTTCTCTTCATGCCCTCTTCCCATTTTTACAACACTTTGCAGATCTCAGATATTAACCCTTTGTCAAATGAGTTGTGAGCAAATATTTACTTCCTGTCTGTGGTAGTTTCTTTTTATTATAGTCATTGTTTTATCTTTGCTTGTCTGCTTAGCCAATGACACTGAATAATTGAAGATGTCTCTAGATTCAATCATGGGGGTTTCTGCCTATGTTTTTCTCAATATAATTTATGGATTCATGGCTTTTAATCCAATTTAAGCTAAATTTTGTGCATGGTGTGAGGAATCCGAGTTCATTTTTTTTAACATATGGTTGACCAGTTTTCCCATCACCATTTGTTAAACAGTCTTTTCTTGCTCCATTTCATACTGTGCTGCATTGTTAAAGATTTGCTGTCCACACACCTGACGATCTGTCTCTATGCTCTTTATTCTATTCCACTTGCCTGAAAGTCTGTCATTATTCGAGACTATTTCAGGAGCACATTGTTTTGGTTACTATAACTATAGAGTAATATAAAGTTGAGGAAAGAAAACCCTCTCATCTTCTTTGCCCGTAGGAGGGATCTGGCTATTTCGAATGGGGTTTATTAGTCCATATAAATTTCAAGAGCATTAGGTATATGCTTCTAAAAAAAAGTCATAGGAATTTTTATAGGGGTTTCACTGAATCTGTCTTGTGCACTGGATAAGTCTGTCATTTTGACAATATAAATAATGTATTGACGTAGTATATTACATTGATTGACTTGCATATGATTAAGCCATCCATGAACAAATGATGTGTTCCTACTTTCTTTCACCTTCTTTTATTTCATTTAGTAGTGATTTAGAGTTTTCTTTGTATTAAATCTTTCACATCTTTTGTTAAGCTGATTCCCAAGTATTTGATTCTGTAAGGTGCAAATGTGAATGGAATTTTCTTTAATTCCTCTCTCTTCTACTTCATTGTTGGTATGCAGAAATGCATGGACTTCCATGTGTTGATTTCATAGCCTGCCTCTTTACTGTACAAGTTTATTGTTTCTAGGAGTTTTGTTTTGTTATTATTGTTTTTGCAGAGCCTTTAGGATTTTCGAAGTACAGTATCATGTAACTGCAAATAATTATTATTTGATTTCTTCTTTTCCAATCTGTATCCCTTATGATTTTTTATCTACCTGCTGTGGCAAGGACTTCCAATATTATGCTGAATAATAGTGGTAGGAGTGGGTCACCTTTTCTTGTGTCTGATTGAGAGGAAACACTTTCATTTTTTCACCATTAAGTACAATGTTAGCTGTGGGCTTGTGGTATGGGGCTTTAATGATATTGAGGAAAGTTTTTTCTATTCCAGTTTTAAGAGTTTTTAATCACTGATGCTGGATCTTTTCTTCTCTTCTTTCTTCCTCCTCCTTTTTTAGACCACATCTTGAAGTGCTCAAGTAACCTAGCTCTGTGCTCAGGGATCACTCTGGTGGGGCTAAGGGTACCATATGGGGCTCCAAAGATTGAACCTGGATCAACCACATACAAGGCAAACGCCCTATCACTGTACTATTACTTCAGGACCTTTCTTCTTTTTGGTGGGAGGGCGGAAGGGGTGTTGGGTCACAGTCAGAGGTGCTCAGGGCTTAGTTCTGGCTTTGTGCTCAGAGATTCTCCTGGCAATGTGTTAACACTATCTCTTTGGCCACTGGGTGTTAGAGCTTGTCAAATGCTTTTTCCACATCTACTGATGATGAAATCATATGATTTTTCTCTTTTCTTGTATTGATGTGCTGTATTACATTGATTGACTTGCATATGATTAAACCGTGCTCGTATCCCTGGGGTAAACCCTACTTGGTCATGCCGCATGCAAGGCAAGCTCCCTACACACTATATTATCTCTCTGGCCCCAAGAGATAGTATAGTTACAGTATCTCACTGAACTTATACAAATGGACTCATATCCCACCCTATTTTAAATCAGTCTAAAGAGTAGTCTTACCATGATCTGGATTTCCCGCTTGCACACCTGAAGATCATGCTCATTGTTGACAAACATGCGTTTCAAGGCACATTTCATTCCATTGCTGGTCCTCACCAGGAACACAATAGCAAATCCACCTGTGAGAGAAGCACACAAAACAAGCCCTTGTAAGTTGGGTTCAGAAAGTCAGCCCGATGACTAAGGTGGCTGCAGGCTGCTATTGTCACCGCTAACAGTACTGACGTCATCACGAGCTAGTTCTTGGACTGGGCTGACAGAGAAAGCTTTCTTAAGATTCTGAGGTTCAAAGGTCTTATAGAACTGAGGGGAGATAGTCAGGAAAACAGTGCCTACACAAATTATCTCAGGATAAAAGAACATTTAATTGCCTGGAAAGGAACCCAGATAGACAAAGAGACAGGAGCTGGGAGCAAGGATCAACTCCACCCCAATTACTGTCTGATGTACTTCCAGGTCTTGCCGAATTCTTCCTACAGTACTGTGAGGCCAGGTGTTATTTTCCCCGTTCAGATAGTAATTAAAAGCTGAAGGAACAGAGGCTCAAGGAGATTAGATTCCCCCAATGAGTTTATTTAAAACGTTAAGTCCAAACTTTAAACAGACAAGCTTGAAAATTACTTCAATAACTGCTCTATGAATAGTTGATAATTAATTTTTAAAATCTCCTCCTCTTCCTTTTTCTTATCCATTCCTACTTTCCCCCATCTCCCAATTTAAATCCAATAATTAGACCTTGAGGAGTCCTTTCTGCCTTGTCTTCCTTACTGGCTCTTGAGAAGACATAGAACATAGGTATAAAAATGCTTCCTTGCACAAAAGACAAGTGAGACTCCATGACTAGACAGACTTTTTAAGCACCGTGCTAATGTCCTTCTGTAAAAAAGGCAGTTTAGGATTCATTTAAGCAATTTCTATAATTCTAACAGAAATTCTTAAAAGCTCTGGATTTGTTACTCCAGGAGTGTTCCACAAAGCAGTCTTAGCACTCCCATCTTTGACCTTCTGGCCCACTCCAGGAGGAATTCAGTGCCACTGTAAATTAGGTTACAGAGAGAAGAGATCTGACACAAAGCTGAAGGCTTTGAAACAAGTAGCAATCACGTTAGGTACTTGGACACCTGCCTGTGTGGGCACCTTCACGGTTTAGATTAAACCATCCTGGACCCTGACTCTACGTGGCAACAACAACAAACTGCAGGGATATTCTTTACACAATCACCAAGGGGATAGAGGTGAACACAGAGGAAAGTCATTAGTACAGGAACTGGAGTTGCTCTTATGGCAGTGTATTGAAGCTGGCAGTCACATACAAAATTGATGGAGCCCAATAAGCAGAGAGTACAGAGGCCTGAGGCCTGAAAACTAAGACTCTGGTTTGGAGTATTCCAGTCCTAAACTTTTAGGCCCAGGGACACCTCAGACTTATCAATGTTCACACTATCTCTTGGAGCTTCTTTGCAATAATTATCCATTTCCAGTTAGTTTGAGCAGGTTTTTTTTCCCTCCAACCAAGAAAGTCTTAATCATAAAGCACTATTGTATGCTTACATTAAAAAGATAATTTTGCGGTAGTAAATTCTTATGGAGTTAAATATCCATAATTTTCATTTTAGTCATTTACTAGAGTCTACATGTTTCTGTACTTCCTGTTACTGTGTTCTTTAGTATTCAAAAAAGCACTAAGTTGTACAAATATTTAATTTGAACTCTCTCTCTAACCCCTGCACAATTACAACTTCCATTTTCTTGTAATATATCAAAGTATATCTGCACTGCTCAATTGTCAAATTTAATTCCAGAATTTAGAATATTTGCCAAAAACACTTTTATCCTAGCACGCATCAACAAGTAGAGAGCTTATCATGTTCAGATTTCTATGATGCCTATTTTCGTACTTTAATTTTTAGGATATCAAAGTTTCTCTTGTCATAATGATACACCTACAATCAAGAATCATTTATCTTCCCTTTTCTTCCCTCAAAATGTTAAACACAAGTTGCCTTGTTCTTTATTAAAGTGGACAGAGCATTATAAATGGTAGGATCTTTGTATGTATTGACCATTGGTCTCTGAATTTTCCGAGCATTCATTTTACCCATGTTCTGAATTTTCCAGATCACAGCACTACAGGCTCAGCCCTAATAATGCTCCCCAAAGAGGGTGTTACCAAGAATGTGGAATCTAAGGACTTCACGCTAGGGGTGAAGGGACCGAGTGAGGCACGAAGGTCTATGGCTTCTAGACAGAACCTCAAAGGTCACTCTCCTTCTATCGAACTGCTTTCTACACCACTCACTGAAAGAAAATTTGTGCAAGAGAAAACCATGTCCTCTGGACAGCCAGGAGATAGGTGGCAGCAGGGCAGAAACAGTCAGGAACATGTCTCCTAGAGTTGTGGCACCTGAGGTAAAGCAAGAAGTGGCCTGGCCATCAGGTGGCCGGAGTGGCAGTTTGAGACACCTGCCACCAGAGGGGAGCAGAGGCATTTCCTTGCCAGGTACCAAGCTGACCTTCCCAGCCAGGATTGAAGAAATGGGTCAGAGGCCCCCCACTTCATCCTGGCAAGCACCACAGAGAGAGGAGTCAGCCCAGATCCCAACAGCCTAGGACCACCCTAAATCTGAAGGAAAAACAGTGAGCCACAGTGCCTAACACAGGGAGAAGCATTTTATTGAGCATGTATATCCAAGAGAAGAAAAGCACTTCAATTGGGACTTCTTGATCAAGAGAGCAAAATCAAAGCCTGGATAGGATTTGTCCCCTTTAAGATGTTGGCTATTATCCCTGGGTAGCTGAACAAATGGAGATGGAAATCTCTGGGTTCGGATGGAGAAGGGAGACTGCATCACTCAAGACACTTCAACGACACACAGGTCTTTGTTGACCAGAGATAGGAGAAGTCTCAGTCACACACAGCTAACCATGGTCCGGATTATTTCCGAAGCGGGCAACTACAGAAGGACCGCATTTCACCACACAATCCTCACAGATTCTGTGACTGACTCTTGCAAAAAAGTGCAATATAACCATTAAGTGAAGTTTTCTTTTTTAAAAAACAAGTGTGCTGATGTTACTTTAAAGAAAAACAAGAGCGTGTGCTGACTGTGTAGTGGCGATGGTTATTGTGTGAGCTATGATAGCCAGAGATGCTTCTTTCCAATTTAGAATGCATGCCAAGATCCTGATTGAATGGAAAAGCTAACGCTGAGCTAGGATGGTCTATATACAAGAGGTTCCAGACTTATTTAACCCCCTGGACAGAAAAAAAAATTCCATCAGCACCCAACATTTCTCCAGCCCTGAGCACTAAGTCTAACTTTTCTCTCCCAATCTTTGATAATGTAAATGGGCACTTCACCACTCACTCGGAGTTCAAAGATTATTTGTGTGTTGGGTTTCCCTCAGTAAACTCATGCCCTAGAAAATGCCTCGTTCATGGTGGGAACTTAGAAATGAGTTACCTTTCCTCTTATGGGTAGCCCAGAAAAATGAAGACAAGGGGCTGGAGAGATAGTACAGCAGGTAGGAATTTGTCTGGCACATGCCTAACCTGGGTTCAATCCCCAGCACCCCACATGGTCCCCTGAGTACTTTCAGGAGTGATTCCTGAATGCAGAGCCTGGAGTAAACTTTGAGCATTGTGGAACAAACACAAAGATTAAAAAAAAAGAGGGGGAAGGGGATAGGAAGGGAAGGAAGGGGAAGGGAGAAGGAAAGGGAAGGATGGAAATAGTGGACATCTTGGTCCAACTTAAAGGAACAGCTACAACACAACTGTGGGTAACATGTAGAAAGAGACACACAGTTTTGTCAGTGCAGAGCCAGGAGTGACCCCTGTGCATCGCTGGGTGTGACCCAAAAAACAAAAAATTTAAAAATTAAAAAAATAATAATAATAAAGTAAGTGCTGGACACTGTAGAGGCAAAAGAAAAACATAACTAAAAGGTTTTGCAGTCTCCGAAGCTACAGTTTTTCTACCTCTTTAAAGTGAGTTTTGGCCATGCTAGAGATCCAACCCAGGCCTCAGATAAAACCAGCTGAGATTTGAGGCACTAATTTCTGACTTCTGCTTTTTTTCCCTGCAGGTAAATTCTTTCTACCTACTGGAATCTAAGTCCCTCAGGAATGGTTCCCACCATTTGGAGGAATGAAGGAAACTTTGCCACACCCATAGCCTGCTTCTTTTACTTTTCTGCCCTCCAATTCTCTCCTTTAGGGTAAGATTTAGTGCCCAAGAAAGAGTATGGGTTTACGGCACTTGGCTTGCACGCAGATGACCCAGGTCCAATCCCTGCTAACACATATGGTCGGTCCCTGAGCATTACCAGGAGTGATCCCTGGGGTGTCATAGAGCAAGGAGTAGAGCCTGAGCTGTACTGGGTGTGACCCAGGGGGGGAAAAAAAAAGATAAGATTTAACCCAATGATGGCTGGGAAAATTGGAAATAATGATGGTGGGAAGATGTAACAGTGGTGGGATTAGTGTCGGAATATTAAATGTAAACAACTTGATAAAAATAAATACATTTAAAAATATTTAGCCCAATTAATGTGGCTTATTTCATGCAGCTTCTCTGTGAATTATCTGTGGAGGAAAAAACAAACATAAAATAGAACAGCTTTATGAAGGACCAGATGGAGAAGAGGGTTGAAATGGAATTTGTCCGGGAGACGTCAAAGCAAGCACACACTTCACTGGACAATCCACCAGAGTCCTTTAGCTTCCATTTGCTCAGCAACTGAAATGAAACTAAATTAGTGGCTTTTATTCCAAGTTCCTCGGTGCCCTAGGATTACTGGGCAGGGGATGGGGTATGTGTGTGGGGGGGTCATTCAGGAGTTCCATGAGGAAAAAAGTGACCCACTTAAGAACAGGGCCCTGCACACGGCTTCCATTGAACTGTTTTTAACATTAATTCTGAAAAAGAGGCCAGGGTAGAAAGTGGGGAGAAAAACACCTTAAAGGAGAAAAAGTATTTGGTTTTTTTTTTCTTTTTGGGTCACATCCAGCAATGCTCAGGGGTTACTCCTGGCTCTGCACTCAGGAATTACTCCTGGTGGTGCTTGGGGAACCATATGGGATGCAGGAGATCGAACCCAGGTTGGCCATGTGCAA